CCTTTACCTCTCTTGTTAGCGAAAAAACACACTGCTGGTGGTGTGTGCTGGCGCTGCTGCCAGTGTACGGCACCTGCCGCTAACTCTTATTGCTGTCGCATCCTGAATTCTTATCGCTACGGACGCTGCTACTTCCGCTGGCAGGCGTGCACTTGACGATGTTGCCGCCAGCGCCCTGCAGCTCACAGCGGCTGCAGCTGTGCCGTCGCCGGCGGCGGAGCCGCCGCCAAACTCCAACTCTACCGGCGCCGCTGCCGCTAGCGTACGGCAGCTGTACGCCGCAGCAGCGGATGCGACGGCAGTGCTCGGATTGGAAGGAGATGGCGACGCCTTCTGGCTGCAAGGAGCGGAGGAGTTCGTGCCCTTGGCCACGGCGGTGGCCAATGGGTTTGAAGCCATTGCCGAACGTGAGGTCGGGATACGACTGGCGCCAAATAGCACACATAACACACATAACACACATAACACACATAACACACATAACACACATAACACACATAACACACATAACACACATAACACACATAACACACATAACACACATAACACACATAACACACATAACACACATTGCACACATAACACACATGTATACTTGCAAAAGTGGTGTAAGTTACGTGGTAGACTGTGGTGTAAGGTAGGATTACAAGATACAAGGGAAAGATGGGTAGATAAAGCAATACGCATATATACACATGATAAACCTATTATTTTTATTACTTCTAAAAGTTATATTTATATTAAAATATATTTCTATGTATATATGAACTTTGTAACTCCCTCCGCAGCAACTGTTAGAAATTAAGGGACTCCAATTTGGTTCTACGTACGTACGCTGTAACCCCGGGGAAAGACGGGATGTTGCAATCACCACCCAATGTGTGGTCCACATCAAATCGGCCTCCTCTACGGCCCTCTGTACGGCTTTACCTCCAGGTTTTCCGTACCGAGCCATCCTAGGGCAGCTGTACAGAAACTCCCTAGGTAACGCCGCCGCGGGTGATGGGAACGCCCGCGAGGATGCAGCCCCCAACGGCGGCGACAGAAACTCTGGAGGACGGAGCAGTACGGCACGAAGAGTGGGACTGCCGTTGGGCGCAGCGCTTGGCGGCCTGGTGGGCCTAGCGATGCTGGTCGCCGTCGGCTATTTGCTGGCGGCGCGTTGCTCGCGGCCGCCGTCACTTGATTGCCGTACAGCTCGCCCGCCAGGTCCGGGACCCGCCACAACACTTGTGATGACCGATATACAGGTAAGGGGGAGAGTGTACGGATGAACGGAGGACGTGTACGGATGCTGGAAGCGTAAACCTACCATGCAGTAATGCCACCCGTCCCATCATCTCGCATCATCACCGGTTTTGAATCCCTTTCTCCGTTTCAAGTTCTTTTCCAGGTCGATAACTATTTCCTTTTAATCCTCAGATTGCCACCAACCAACTCGCCAACGGCCAACCGTCAACCACCACAACCCCGCACCTCGCATAAATGCGTAGTAATCCACTCCGCCCGACCGCCCATCCCTGCTTTCTGTATGAAATCCGCAACCGTACCCGCCTGGCTTTGGGCCCCTCCCCCTTTTTCCTCCTCACGGTGCGGCCCTTGCCGGGTCCCTAGAACTCCACCTTGCTGTGGGAGGTGCTTTCTTCGGGTGTGATGGATGGCTGCCTGGCCACCCATCACCGTATAATGCGCCAGGTAGGGTGAGGTGGGTTCCGGGTTCCGGGTCTTAGCGGTTTTAATGCTGTTTAACAGTTTTTATTAAAAAAACGGTTTAAACGGTTTTATTCATACTAACGATTTTGACTATTTTTAATGGTTTTAACGGTTGAAAGGCGAGGCAATCGGAAAAAGCATGTACCATTTGTGTCCGCGCCAGGTTTCTTCTTTTTTTAAGGGTTTTGGCCACATGGTCCAATATCTCACCTCGGCCCTTATGCGTTACAAAGCTACGGAAGGAAACGGTGCAGGTCTTTCCTAGGTGCAGGGAATGGTGTAAGCACCCCGGACGCTGGGGGAAGAACAGGTGCCCTGGGCCGTTCCGCACCTGCCCTTCTCACTTGTCATTTTCTCTTCCGCCCCCCGTCCCCTCCGTCCCTCCCTCCCCCCTCTCGCCCCCTCCCCCCTCTCGCCCCCTTCCGTCGGCTCCCCCTCCTCTCCTCTCCTCTCCTCTCCTCTCAGGCCATCGCGAGCCACAGCGGCTACGAGGTGTTCACGGAGGGAGACGCCTTCGCGGTGGCCTTCCACGGACCGGATGATGCGCTGGGATTCGCGATGGAGGTGCAGGTAAGGGCCTCCGGAAGGGGGGGGAGGGGGGAGGGGGCGAGAGGGGGGAGGGAGGGA